GCCATGGCGCTCCCCGGCCCGCCCCGCCGCGCAAGGCCCGCCCAGGCCCGCCCCGCCGCCTCACGGAGCCACCGACCGGGGATAAAGCGGGAATAAAGAGGGAATAAAGCGGGAAAGCGACACTTCTAACGCTAAAACCCCGGGATCGTAGAATCACGGGACTGTCCGGGTTGGAAGGGACCTGTAAGATCATCAAATCCAACCATCAACCTGATAAAACCCATCACTAACCCACGTCTCTACGCACTATGTCAACCCGGCTTTTGAATCGTATAGACTCAGGATCACAGAATCTTCCAGGTTGGAAGGGACCTTCAAGATCATCTTGTCCAACCGTCAACCCAACTCTGACAAAAAAACCATGTCCCTCCCCCAGCACCATGTCCCCCAGCACCGCATCAACCCGTCTCGAACACCTCCAGGGACAGTGCCTCAACCACCTCCCTGGGCAGCCCATTCCAAGGCTCAATAACCCTTTCCATGTCAAAATTGTTCCTAATATCCCATCTGAACAACTTGCCCACAACTTGGGCCAATGGGATCCTGGGCTGCATAGGGAAGAGTGGGGCTAGTAGGTGGAGGGAGGTAATTCTCCCCCTCTGTTCTGCACTGGGGAGGCCACAACTGGAATCCTGTGTCCAGTTCTGGGCTCTCCAGTTCAAGAGAGGCAGGGAACTACTGGAGAGGGGATCAGTGGGGATGGGGAGAATGGAGGTCAGTGGTCAGTGGGGATGGTGGTCAGTAAGGATAATGGTCAGTGGAGATGGGGGTCAGTGGTCAGTGGAGATGGTGGGGATGGGGGTCAAGAGGGATGGTGGTCAGTGGGGATGGGGGTCAACGGTCAGTGGCAATGGTGGGGATGGGGGTCAGTGGTCAGTGGGGATGGTGGAGATAGTGGTCAGTAGGGATGGTGGAGATAGTGGTCATGGGGGATAGTGGGGATGGGGGTCGGTGGGGATGGTGGGGATGGCGGTCAATAGGGTTGGTGGGGATGGCGGTCAATAGGGTTGGTGGTCAATGGTCATTGGGGATGGTGGGGATGGGGATCAACATCAACTTGGTGGGGAT